TGAGCTCTGTTGTCTCAAGCTGCAGTGAAAGCTGAGGATGACGGCCTTCAGCTGATGAGCTTCTAGTGGCCTTGGATTTCCTTTGTAGTGCACGAGAGTCCATACTGTATGCATTTGAATGGAAGAAAGTCATACTGAGAGTTCTTCTAAAAACTCAACATTATATAAATTTAGGACAGTCTCAGAAAAATTTTAAAAAGGTTTGAAAATTTCCAGCTATTCACAATCATAAGCCATAAAATTGTCTTTGAAAAAGAATTTTCTGCTAGGGACTGTCTTATGGTTATATTCGTTTACCTACTGGAAAGCTATTCCTTTAAGAATTAAATGTAGGCATCCCTTGCCACTGTATTTCAGGAAACAAAATCTCATCAGTCCAATTTTCAATAACCCAGAGAAATTAAAAGAAAACTTTCATAGCAATGTTGGTGAAAACAGGAATAGACAATAAATTGCTTTCTTATATTGTCAACAGATTTCCTACCTGTGGGTAACTCATTATACAGAATGAGAAAATCAGAGCCCTTTTATTGCTGATGGTTGATTTTCAAAAAAACAAAGTATGTTAGTGACCATAAAAAGCTGCTCATCAAAGCATTCCAAAATACAGTACATCTTATCTATTATTTGCGTGTTTTTTTGACTTTTATCATTTGCAAATTTTTCTGACTTTTTACTTTGGAAGTTTTTGTATCTCTTGTACCAGTCAGGTTTTTATCACTAAAATGAACCTGAGACAGGCTAACTTGTAAAGAGATTCATTGCTGACAGCTTTGGAAGTTCAAAGGCCTGGGGTTGGCATCAGCTTAGTTCTGGTGAGGGCCCACCTCAGCTTCATCACATCATGGTGTATGGCAGTGGCAGGAAGCAGAGACCGTGGGATCAGGCTCAGGTTTCTGTGGCAGTCTTTCACAAGGACCAACCAGGGTCCCATGAGAAAAACCTTAACCCCTTTCCAGGACATGCCCCAGGTTGACCTCCCAGTAGTTCCATTTCCAAAGGTCCACTGTCTCATCCTCACCTCGCAGGAGGCCAGGCTTCCCACATACAGATCCTTGGGGGGACAAATTATATCCAAATGTAGCACGGCTTCCAAAGTATGTAGAAGAGTTAATGAGGCCCCATGTGTTACCACACTGCCACAGTAGTTATCAGGTCACAAACAGTCTTATCTATACCTCTGCTTGGTATCCTGTGAGGGACCGACAGTCCCACAGTGAAGTATTATGTAGCCCCCAATACTAAGAAAGACATAGCTGAAAACTCTTATATAGGTCTTTAACTTCTCTTAGCAATATTTTGATTTTTCTATGTAGGGATTCATCACATCTTTGTTTTCTTAGATAAGTAATATTTTGGTACTGTTTTGAATGGTAAGTTTTAAATCTCATCTTCTTATTGTGTATGTGTGTCTGTGCATGTATACATGTATATTTGTATGTGTGTTCTTTTATGTGTTTCTTAATGAGTGTCTTCATGTGCTTCTATTATTTGATATGTCTTATTGTAGAGGTTCCCCTCTAGTCTTTTTTCCTCTAGCAGTTCTTTATAGTTGAAGAAACTAGGTTCTTTGTCCCATAGAACTTCCTGCAACTTGGATTTTGCTGATTCTTTCACCATGGTGGTGTATAATATCTCTTCCTATCCCTGTCCTTATGATTGTTGCCTATATCCATTAATTCCTTAGGTGCTGCACAATGGTGACAAGCCAGTTCTATCACTTGCTTCTCATTTATTAGCCCAGAATGCTCCTGTAGAGAGAAACTCTCCCCTCTCCAAACCAGCTGGTTCCTCTTCAGTGATGGCGAATCTTTTAGAGCTTTCCGTGGTATAAACAGCCTGCTGTAGCATGCGTGCCTTAGGTTCGCTACCACTGCTCTAACATAGAGAAAAGGCAAGACAAATGCTTATTCTTTCTCTTTTTGAGGTCTGTTTTCAAAATAAGTTGGTTCCCTGAGATTCTCCATGGGCAGCTAGTGAGATTCTTTTTCTTAATTAAACCTATCACGGACATATGGTTGAAACTTACTGGATAGTTCAGTTATTGCTGTTTTTTGCTCAAGGGTGATCATCTTGTTCCATCTTTGGCTAATGAGAACTTCTTTGAGACCTGAATATGTTGTTGGTGCTATTTTAAGCTTTCTTACCTTGAGCTGTAAGACACTCAGGCTCCCTTAAACATTGCTTGTCTCCGGCCTGGACGCCGCCCTTTCTCCACTGTGGTGTATGTGCAGAGGATGTAGATGTGCACAATGCTCCTGCTGCCCATTCTTTCTAAATGTTTTCCAGTTGACAGAACTAGAACATATGTAGATTTTTAAATATTAAAAAAGTACAGTGAGATGCATTGATTCTGCCTGTTCATATCCTGGACTATAAGATTTTAAAATTAATTTCATCCTTTTTCCTATGCACAAAATCTTGGGTCTCAACATACTTCTTGCTGTATCACAGACTACACACCTAGCACTCTCTGAATAACTACACCCCCTTGTCCAATGAAAATATTGTCACTGAAAACACTAAGATAAAGGGGGTTCTTTTGGGGACCTGTTTCTAAGGGTATTTCAGAACAGGGATGTGTTTTTAGGTTGCTGCATTTTAAAGTCACTTGGAATAGTGTGCTTATGTTACCAAATGGACTTACTTTTAGGTACATTTAATTCACTGTACTTTTGACTTCTAGGGATTGCATATTAAAATTTCATTTAATATTATTATGTGTAATATTTACATGGTTTTAAAGTCAATTTTACAAACAGGGTGCATGCGAAGAAGTTTCTTTTCTATCCTTGTCTCTTCCCCTGTTCCCTCCCTCACATGATAGGTATCTGTTTATAAAACAAACATCATAGCTTCTCCCACCAGTGTGGGTTCCGCATATGCGTGGTCGTTAGGGGAGCTGGGCACCTCTGCCTTTGCTCCCCGGCACTGGTTTTTCGTTCACCGTCCTCATCCTTCGGGGGAATATTTTCCCATTTCCAAGACAAATAGGTTTCATGTAGAGACACCTGCATGGGCCTTAATTGAGATGAAGGACGTTTACAGGGAATCGCTTGAAGTATGTTAAGCTAAAAGTCCAAGTGAAGCAAACAAGTACACCTCGACAGTCTGAGGTCTCTGGCAACCCTTACTGGGTGACATGGGGACACCTGCTTTCTACACAGCATCTGTCAGTACCTGATGCTTCCAGGGCTGTGTGGGTTGCAGACAGGGCTTCCAGGAGGGAAAAATGTCTCTTCTGGGCTGGTTTCCCCCCACTTGAATGATAAGATAGTATGTGAAATAATAAGGGCAGGGAAGGTACCATGAATAATTAATTGCCACTGCGCTTAGAAACCTAGTTTTAGTCATGGACAAGAATTAAAGTAGCAACACTAGGCCCAGTTTCAGCCCTTTTTTTCCCTTTCTCAGGCAGCAGAGTGGTTAACGTGAGCAAGGAAAGGGGAACTCCTGGTGACCAGCTCCGGATTAAAAGGCACCCGTTCCAGGAAGGCTGGGTCTGCTTCTCCTTGTATCACCAATTCCTGTCTGCTGATTGCCTGTTCATAGGAGGCACATGTGATACAACACATAGCACTTAGGAGTAGCAGCCCATCGTGTTGTGTGTGGGTGGTGGTGTAGAACGAGGAAAGGTAACATCTCCTTCGAGGTAGAGTGAGCAATGGCAGATGCACCGGTAGTGTGTTCTCTGTTCTAGGTTTGGGGATAAGAATGTGAGTTTGCGATTCTTCACCAGGCACTTGACCTCCCTAGGTTTTTTTTTTTGCTTTGTTTTGTTTGTTTTTTCTTGTTGATTAAAGTATACTGTTAGGGAAAAACAAACTATTATTGTAATCATAGAATTTTTGTAGGCACCAAGTAGATTTTTTTTAAAAAATGGTAACAGAAGCTTAGCATGCCAAATAAATTGAGTGCTGGATTCTTCTAACCCCCGTATAACTCACTCCAAGGAAGAAATGAATGTGTGTAGACTTTGACTCATTAATGCCACCTCTAGCAGTTTTATCCCAAGAATATGTGTGTTGTTGCCTACAAAATGTGTCCAAATTGCTCACCAAGCATAAGTGCGTATGTGCATGTTCCTTTTCTCTCTCTCATACATATATGTGTGTGCACACTTCCGTTTGGGATCCAATCTGAATTTCTAGTAGAGGATTGGGTAGGTAAATTGCTACATACCTATATTTTATAGTGACCATGACTTATTTACATAAGAAGAATCAGTAAAAGGATTTTCATTCAGGAAGACAATTACAACTTTTCCTTTTAGTGCAATTTTGAAATTAAAGGAGAGAGTTTGTATTCATATATTAGAGTACATTGGCTTTGGTTTGGTTTCATCTTCTGCTGACTATGAAATTAGATAATGACAGTGAAGGAATGGCTGACTCTTAGGGAAGCTCCCCCATCTTAAACATATGAAGAGTTTTTTTTTCATTTTTTGTTATTTCTGTATGGGGATATAACGTGCTTTGATCATGTCTTTCCCCTCGCTACCATCCTTTGGTCTCCCCCTCAATTGCCGTCTTCTAGTTTAATAGTTTAGGGAGACATTCTTAATGTTTTGGATGGCAAGATCTGGTTTAGTAGTGAAATCATTTGATCCAGTATAGAAGTGATAACTGATTTTACGTATGTAAAATTTTGAACATGTTTTGGATTTTAAAAATGAGTAATAACCATCTTCTTTGGCCATGTTTGTGCAATGTCAGGTTGTTTCTGCCATATTTATACTTACTGCTTAAAAGGGACAGTTGAAAAGTTTACTAACCCAGCCCAGTCACTTGCAATATGGCCTTGTCATCTGCCTTGCTTTGAAGAATTGGGCAGTTCTGTCCTGACACATAGAGCTGTGTACCATCTTGCTGCTCTGACTTTTTCCTTGGGGTAATTTAATCTGCTTGATAAACTTAACTTCTATCCAAGCAATAGGATTACATAAGACTTTCAGGGTACAAATTCATAATAAAAGTAATCATGTGTCGTTTTCTTAACAGAAACCACAGCCCATTAATGAGTTTCGGAGCCAGCTTCGTCAGTTTTTTGGTAAGTTAATGTCAGAAGTAGTCATGGTGTGAAGGAAAAAAATATAAACTAATGTCTGCTATTGGCTACGAGCTGAATAGACACACCATTATAGAAAACCTTTTAGCATTTAAAACTGGGATAAAGTTTTGCTTCTAAACCAATGCTAGGAGATAAATCCTCGTACCTAATTTTAAAAGTAAAATGCTTGTATTTTATTTCAATAGCATTATATATTTTCCAGCACAAATATTTTATCAAATAAAGGTGTAATTGAAAGACCTACAAAAATTAAAACTGTAGAAGAAGAGCAAAAGTTTGACCTTGGTAATAAAGGCTCCTGTAAAATTATTGAGTAACTGTGGACTCAGAGTTCAGTAAACAGAGTGAAAGTATGTTTAGCTAGCATTACATTTCCAAATACTAACATTTGAGAATTGAGGGAAAAGGTTTTAGTTAGGTTTTAAAGGAAATTGGTCAATGGAAAAAATTGAGTATTTTCATTTTTCAGAAAAATTTACTATACAAATTACTTTCAAACGCTTTTTCTTTTTTGTCTTTGTGGTCTCACTATGCAGTTCAGGCTGGCCGTGAGCTTACTTGGTAGCCCTGGCTAGTCTCAAACTCACAACGATTCTCCTGCCTCAGCTTTCCGAGTGCTGGGATTACAGGAATTATGTTTGAAGCTGCCACCATGCCCAGCTTCAAGCATAATTCTTTAAAAACCATAGATTGTAAAACAGAAGGGGGGAAATGTATTGAGATCAAATGGGAGAAAGCATTTAGACTGGAGATTTAGAAAACTAGCAGAGTCCATTAGTGCCACTGCAGGTGCCAGGCCAGACTTAGTGAGACACACAGGTTTTTATTCAAGCTGTTTATTTCCTCTTATTGCCATACAAGACAGCAAAAATTTCATGGTCAACTTTTTGCAAGAATGCATAGTTCACTCCTCAAGGAAAAGAGTAGTGGGTGGGAATTGTAACATGGGGACCCACGTGACCACAGAGGCTGCCAGGGAGATCAAACCGAAGGATCCCAGCTGAGCTCGCTGGGGAGCAGGCTGAAATTGCAGCATGGTTGGGAAGAGTGTGGCAGGAGGCCAGGGAAAGGTGACTGTAGCCTGATCTGGTAGGTACAGTAGGTTTAAATCAGACCAAAGGCACCTAAATGCCAAGACGGGGCTAGTGGAACCTGAGCAGAAGTGGAGAACTAGAGACAGTGAGTTTGTTAGCGTCTTCCGAGAACCTGGTCTCTCTTTTAGCTCAGAACCCTCAGTTCTACTGGGTACAAGTCACAGGGCTAGCAGACATTCAGAAGATTGCCTCTACCCAGCCAAATATGGCCTTGCAAGATCCACCAGGATCAGGTGCCTGGAAACAAGCTGCTGGTGGAATTCTAACTGTATGCGTTATAAAATGAGTTCCTAATGAGTGAACCCATGGGGATTGCTGTTCCCGGAAAGACTGATGGTTTTCAAAGACTACTTTTTACTAGCCATGTGTCATTAGCTTTTCTGTGCAGTGCTGGATGAGCTCGGATCCATCTGTGGGTCAAGTGAGACACTGTTGGAAAAACTGAGCAGAGCAGACGAATTAGAAATTGTACAGAATTTTTGCTACTGTGTTAGAATAACCACAAAAGCATGGAAGAATGATAATTGCAAGGTCATTTGCTAGTGTACTTTTTTCATGTTGGTGTAATGGAGTATAGTCGTAGTTCATATTGAGGTTATAATTTCTTTGAATGAATAAAGTATGCTGTAACATTTTGATTCTTTTACTTGCAAATTATTTCCCCCCCCCCTTATTTTGGGGCTTTGTTATCATAAATTGGGTTAAAGTTTCAGTTACTGATTCATTCATTCTTTCCTTCTTGGAAGAATGCCATGATGACATTTGAGGAAGAGAAAATGCAGTTGGCGTGTGATGACTTAAAAACGACGGAAAAGCTGTGTGAGAGTGAAGAGGCTGGGGTAATTGAAACGATCAAGAATAAAATTAAGAAGAATGTAAGTAGCACAGCTTTGGAGCATGGACTCTGTGCCACTTATGTAGAACGTCATTCATTCGCTTGTGTTTTGTATTGAGAATACGACCGAAATAATACTGTTCATTACTTCTGATTATGTAAAATGTCTTTCTTGAAATAACAGAAGCCCCTTTAGTCATTAGAGTCCTCTGGTAGGTGATCCTTCGGTGTTTCACGATGCTCTTCTTCCACATGGGCCCTGGGCCAGGGCTCGTGAAGTGCAGGTTTCTGTGTGTAGTTAAATGTGGCACAGTGGTAGCTGATGAGCAATGACAGGGTTGCGTTTTGGCATATTGCCGGCCCCTAGCTCTCACCAGCCTTCGGTTCTAGATAAAGCCACAACATCATAACCCACTTTTCCTGATTTTGCCTTCCCTTTCAACTCAAAAGTTCCAGGCCGTGGAAAGGGATATTCCTACTCTGTTGTTTCTCAGGCGTGTCACCTATGTGCCCAATGAGCTAATCTGTTGCATAGGTCCATCAGGCCACCCTTTCTTTTCTTATGATTCTTCACATCAATCTCCTACCCGTGAAGCAGTCGCAGGAAGTGGCCTCACTTACACACTATAGTGGAAGCCAGCGAGGGGCCAAGAATTCTACAGCCTGAGACTGCTGATGGGCCAGAGTTGCCTTTGCTCCCTCCTCCAAACACCACATACAGTCACCACATACAATCATCACTTTCTCTCCAAACTCTTTCTTCAGCATCTGTCCATCATCTCCATCCGCTCTTGGGCATGTCCCTAAGTCAGCCACCATCCCCTTTGCCTAAGACAGACTGGCATTTCTGCCTCTGATCTCCCTGGTCCAATTCATTCTCTGTAATGTGGAGATACTGCTTGTGTGGCTTTCAGCCCCTGCCTGGCTGGCATCACTGTGATGAAGTCCAAACTCCTAAGTTTGGCTGGCATATGTTTTGCCTCTGCCTGGAACACTTTTTTCCCTCTTTACCTGATTCCTACTCAATCTTCAGTTCTTCCTAGATATCATTTTGATCTCAGAACTCTTTTCTGGGGCTGCTAGTCCTACTGAGTATGTCTTCTACAGTTCCCATAGTTTTCTGTACTTTGCCCTGCAGAATACTTACTATTACTCAGTAATAAGGACTGCAGTTCCCCGTTACCTGGAAGCTTCTTAACGTATCTATCCTCAGTGTCTACTACTATGCCCAGTACATATGTTTTAATGCTTGTAATAGCCTTTGCGATTTATATAGTGTGTAAGACTATGCAGGATCTCATAGCCCTCCTGACAAACCCCTCCCTGCACAGTGGATGTTACTGAAATAAGAAACAGAAGCATTGATAGATTGACATTTTCCAAAGTAAACAGAATAATGAATGCTGGGCTAGACATGGAACACAATGACTCTGACTGATTATGCTGAAATCTACAAACAGTGTGTGTGGGGAAGGATAATACCACTACCCTGTGTACCATAGTATATACTTGGCATATTTGCATAAATCATGTCACTTCTCATGTCATTATAAAAGCTTATGAAAATAGCTTATTTTACTCAGATTTACTTTGTGCTGAGAATACAGAATGTTCTGTGCCACAGTGATTTTTACTCATTTAAGAAACATAATTTATGACAAAGACCAATATTTTTTCAGTGATTTCATCTTTGCTTATTTTTATGGCTTGAATTTCAAGTGCAAATTGTGATGTATTCAAGGCTAATTTTTAATTTCAGTATGTATTTTCAGATCATAGAAATATAATCAGTTTCCAGCCCTGACATTTCAGTTGCAGGCACCAAAAGGCTGCACCCTAATAAAGGCCCCATCTAAAGATTGATGGCTATAAAATGACTTCTCAGATTATCTACTTTAGCAAATGTTTTGGACCTTTAGTGATTTTTTTTATAATTAAGAGTTTTCATTATCAAAAAATTGTGAACAAAGTTTTGTGACTTTTTAACAATTTCCCATGAATTCAGCTGTTGTCACTTAGAGTATCATTTTTGAATTATAATGTTCTTTAGTATTGTACTATCAACAAAGCTAGACCTAAGGGGTATGTGGAACTACCAACCTTCTAGCATAAATTTGGGCTTAGCTTTGGGTGACTGCCAGGTCCATTTCCTAATTCCTGTGTGAAATTATTTTGCACCATAAAGTAAGAGTTGTTTGGAGGGAGTAGTCTCCTTGCATGTGATTTTACCGGTATTTTCTTTCTTTCCACCAAACAGGTTGATGTCCGCAAATCCGCCCCCTCTATGGTTGATCGGCTTCAAAGGCAAATAATCATAGCAGACTGTCAGGTTTACCTGGCTGTGCTTTCGTTTGTGAAGCAAGAACTGTCAGGTATGCTGAGCACTGGTTTAATGGCATTCACTGTTCGGCGGACGCAGTGGGTAATGCTTTGTGTAGACCACCTCATATTTCAGCTTTGTAAACACGATGTCTCCTCGGGACACGATACTGATTTATTACTTGGGAAATTGAAACCACAAGTGCTTAATGTGTGTTTAGCAAAGTAGTTTTAGTCTCAAAGTCTGTGCTTCATCCTCTACTCCCAAGATAATTCCGTCTTACGTAGAGAAATCACTATTGCCTTTTATATGTATGTAGACACATATTCCTTTTTCTTTGTGGAAATCAAGTTGTAGTAATCATCTTTGAAGTAAAATCTAACTGATTTAAAATTAAGTTATTGAGGAAATTGTCATGAGAGGCTTGAGTGCCCTCAGTGGCCTCAAGTATATTAGGAAATCATTAAAATCATTAAAGATTTCCTAATATACTAGAATGTTCGGTATTATAACAACTTTCAACAAGGGGCATAAACTAATTTCTTAGTTAGTTTGTACAAGATGAATGTTTTCCAGGCTTTTGTACCTTTAATTTCTTGAGTGAAAGTGACTCAGTGGGGTCCCTAATAGCTTTCTATAAGGCTGTGTCTGAAATTGTTAGGTGTGTTTTGGATCCTGTGAGCAGAAACTAACCACTTGGGTAGATAGGATTTACCTGGGAAAGAATGAAAATTCAAAAAAATCAATTAAAATTCAATCAGAAAAGCCTTTCCTCCCAAACCTTAAATGAAGAGAAATATAGTTCTGCTGAATTATACCATGTTTCTTTCTAGTAACCAGAAGCAAGTTTTTCCTAGTTTTTTCTCTCTTGTTCTCTTTGTCTCTCAGTCTAAAAGATGCATGATTTCTGTTTACTTCATATAAAGTGGAATTTAACTTTTGTTTTGACCTCTCTTGATCTTCCTAGAGTTTATCCCTCTTTAAAATATGTCCTATGATATACTTTTACCATTTGCTTTGGTTCATTTCTTTCCTTTAATCTGCTTCTCATCAGTCTCCTAATACCTTCAAGGGCAGCAGTTCAGAGTGCATCTGAGTTTCCTCTGCTGTAGTCATGCAAATCATCTGGAGCTCCGTGCTGACCTGGGTGTAAAAGAGCAGTGGAGCTTATCTGGTGCTCTCTGGTCAAGACAGGTGCTTGTCCATTCTGTGGTCTTACACATCCTTTGCTCTTGTCAGGAGCTAATTAAAGCCATTAAGAAACCATTGGTTAAGAGAGGAGAGTAGTGAGGCATAGTGGCATGTACCTCTGGTCCCAGTTACTCTGGAGGCTGAGGCAGGGGAATCACTTGGGACCAGGAATTCTAGGCCAGCCTGGGCAACATAGTAAGACAGCTTATCTTAAAAAAAAAAAAATTAAAAAATTTATCAGAGAAGGATAATACAAATGTAGTACAATGCCTACCTGTGGATGTATTTCAAAAATTTAAAAATGAGTATAGCTGTCTTTCCTATGGTCACTCATTGATCCATTCAACAGTTACAGGGTCCATACTGTGGGACAATCACTGTGGTAAGTGAATAAGCCCATAGTCCTGACTCTTAGCAGTCTGGAATCATCAGAATATATTATTTATTTCAAAAATTATTCTGATTGTAAAAATACTATTATTAGGAAAACTTTTGAAAAGATAAAAAAGAGTACAAAAGAAAGCAAGTCATCACTCTGATTTCTTCCCTGGCAAGAAATCATTCTTAATCAGTTTCCTGTTTCTCTGTATTTTTATCTGCACTGTTGAATCTGCAGTATTTTGAATCCTGCTTTACTCTCTTAGATCATATTTTGGATATTTTCCTGTGATTCAGTTTTAGAATGTAATTTTAAGTAATAACATACTAGTTTATCTTATGGAGAAGCCAATTTATTTAATCAATTTCTCCTTGCTGTGTTTTGTGTTTATTAGCAAGGTTAAACCCATTTTTAATCAATTAAATTTTGGTGCTCGAGATCAAGCAAAGGAGGTGTTTTTCTACTGAACTGTTTCTCAACCTTTATTTTTTTATTTCATCCATAAACTGTATTTCTTTCACAAATTGCCTTTATTGTCTTTACCCAGTCTTCTAATAGTTTTATGTTAATCAGTTATTTAATCCTGTTTATCATAGCCATTTAGCAGTGTTTTTGTTTTTTCCTAAACTCTATTATTTGTTAACTGTGATATTGATACCACAGTGAAATTTCCATAAGCATAAAAGCCTCACATCTTAGTTAATTTATCTAGTAGTAGTTTATTTTATGAATAGTTCAGCATTTATTTTGAACAGTCTACCAACAATGTGCTTAATTTACCTTTCAGATACCCAATGGGTTATTCATTTACAAATTATTTACTTTATTATTGAAATCCATTTCTTAAAAAAATATTTTTGATGGATAATTTCCTAGAAGAAACAAAAGCCTTCTTCGAAACATTTGTTCTAGGAGTTCCTCCTCTCCCCCGAGAGGGTGACACAGAGGCCCACCTGAGGAGGGGCACACACTGACCAGGGCTCTGGGAGGGATGAATCAGAGTGAGTTTTTGCCCTGAAAATTATGGTTGTTGAAAAGATTAGCATTTCAAAAACTGCCAAGTATTTTGTATCAGGACAATAGGAAAGATGGCTTGAAGGCATCTCAGGAATCAGCAAGACCACACCCTCTGGCTATGGAAGGGCCACTCAGGGAATTGGCACCCTGAGATTCACTTCTCAGGGCTAAGACATTGAAGCACTCAGGGGCTACTGCAGCCATGGTTCAAGAGGGCCTGGCTACTATTCCCACTGAGAAGAGACCATGGTATCATCCATGAGTTGCTGGTTTTTCAAGCATGTAGAATGCAAAAGTTGTGGGTTTACAGAGGCTTCCACCCAAATTTTAGAAGAAGCCTGGAAGACCAGGTAGTGTGCCCCTGAGAGGGCGGTGCCTGAAGCTGTGAGAGACAAGTCAAAAGTAAGGGGACTCACCAGGAAGTTAGAAATGCCAGGAAAATAAAACATCTGCTGAGGAAAGCCATAGAGCAATGAGTGGAGCCAGCCCAAGGGACAGGCCACGTGGACTGCCCACTGCACTTTTGGCTTGCCATAGAGGCATGGATGCCCAAGCGCTGTAGAGCACACTTCTTGCCACAACTTGTCCCAGCTATGCTGGACATGGAGCTTCAAGATTTAACGTTTGCCCTACTAGATTTTGGTCTTGCTTTGGTCCAATTTCTATTTCGCTGGCCATCCCTTTTGAATGGGAATGTTTACCCTGTGCCATTATATGCTGAAAGAATTTTTATTTTTCAGTTTTATAGGGGCTTGAAGCTAAGAGTTTGTCTTGAGCTTAGAGAAGACTTTGGACTTGGACTTTTCAGCAATACTGGAACTATTAAGACTAGCAACTCTTAAAGAGAAACTAAATGTATTTTGCATAATGAGATTGATGTGACTCTTTTAGGGGCTATAGGCAGAATGTTATGGTTTACATCTATAATGTCCTCTAGAAGTCTCATATGTTTGAAAGGTATTTGGAGCATAGGGGTGCTGTCCTCATCACTGGATTAGTGTGTTGATGATGTCATACCTGACTATGCTGTTCTGAGGCGGGGCATGGGCTGAACAGGTGGGTCACTGAGCATGTGGCCTAGAAGTCTGTATTCTTGTCCCGTAGCTTCTCCCCTCTGTCTCTGCTTTGACTTGCTAGGAGGTGAGCAGGTTTCCTCTGCTATGCCATGTCGCCATGGCATTTCTGCCTGGAAGCATGTGGACCAGGGCTGAACCCCTTGAAACCGTGAGCCCAAATAACCTTTCTTTCTTTAAATTGCAGGTGTTGGGTATTTTGTTCCCGTGACAGGAAAATGACTAATACAGATCTATATTGCAGGCCCTTCCTTTCTGGTGAAACTACAAACGTCATCATTCACTTGTGACTTTTCTCCCTGATTCTTAGTGTAGGTCTGGCTAAACACAGCCAGCAGTACCCATGTCACAGACCGAATCGTGAGCTACTTTGCAATTTCTTCCACCAGAACACTTAGTCTACCATATTTAAATTTAGCCTCACATAGCCTACATGGACAAAACGTAGGCAGTTCGTTTGCCAGAATAAAATATGCATGGCCTCTAGTTCAGTTTCCAGTAGAGTCCTCATTCCTGTCTGAAACTTTATGAGCCCGACCTTTACCGTTCACATTCCTGCCATCATTTTGGTCTTCTGCACTCCTTCCAGCACCTCTCATCTATCTCTGTTTATAGCAATGTGGGGTTTTCTCTCTTTCATTTCCAAACCTCCCCAAGCTTTTCCCCTGTAAGCCACTTCCAAAGATTTCTAAACCACATTGTCAGGAACAGTCATATCACTGACTCTACTCTTGTTACCAAAGTCTTTATGAGTCACTTTCCTGTCACCGGGATGAAACACCTGGAAAGCGCAATGTAAAGGAGTTAGGTTTCTTTTGGCTCACCGTGGATTCAGTCTGTGCTTAGCTGTTTTTAAGGAAGAGCATCCACCATGGTGAAACAGCATGGTGGAGGAAAGATGCTTACCTCATGACACCCAGGAGGTAGAGAAGGGAGAAGATAGGGACAAGAACACGGCCTTCTGGATCATGCCTTCAATGACCTACTTCTTCCAGCCAGGCCCCACCTCCAGGCAGCCTTCAGCTGTGAACTCATCAACAGCCTAATGTACTGATGAGTATGACCACAGAGTATCACCTTCCAAACACATGAGATTTTGGAGGCCATTTTAGATCTAAACCATAACAGTAGGTTATTAATTATGCTATGATCCAAGAGTCCTTTTTTTTCAAGGAAAAAAAAATAACTTTAAAAAAAAGTTTAATTTAATTTTAATTTTTTGGGGTTTTTTTTCCAGTACTGGGAATTGAACTTATGACCTCACACTTGCCAGGCAGGTGCTATGCTGCTGAGCTAAGTACCCAGCCCCTTATAAGAAGTTTTAAAAACATATTTCTTGGTTCTTGCCTCGTGAGTTTGTTATGAATCTCCTCTGTTTTCTTTTGGATCCGA